GTAGCGGGACCGACTGAAACTCTGGTGATCGGAGGATGAGATTCCGTGAATCTTGCTACTGAATGGCGCGGCAATGAGTCCAAACCGGCGGCCGAAAAAACACCGGCGGGGGGAAGGCCGGAGACCACGGATAGAGAGGGGGTCGCGGCTGTGGAACTGCCACCTCGTAAGCTATTCTCCAAGAATGCCGAGACAACTTATCTGAAGGCCGGAAGTGAGAATAGAGCTTCGAGCTCCGGCTGCAAGGGGGTGGTCGGGATTTGGAGTTTAGCCGGTAGGGTGGAAGATGGAGGTAAAGGCAGCGGTGGAGGCATGGAAACGGGAAGAGGGGCCATGGGTAACGACAGCGGCCTGGTGGCCAGGAAGGAGCCGCCTGAAGGCGGCCGACAAGCGGCTAGGTGGAAGGGGTGGTCGGGGAAAACAAGATGAGGGTGGGGATTTCAATAAATCAATAAAGTCCTATAAGTTTTAATATGTAATAAATTTCAAGACGTTTTTTTTATTTAAAATACAAAATCCCCTCTATATATAATTTCAGAATGCGCTGAGCCTACGTGGCAAATTCTCATGCTTCGGAATCCTATTTGGCAAAAAATTCATGCTTTGAAGGTAGGCTTGGATATAAATTAATATTTGTATTAATTGTATTTTAATATCATTTCCTATTATAACCATTGAATTGCAAATATATTTTAAAAGTTGATAACTTTTGTATTTCTTATCGGTTTTACATATATAATATATTAAATTAATCATCTTTTGATGAGCTTCGATTTGAAATCCATATTGTATATATAAAATAAATAAATTATACGTATCTTTATAATAATAATAAAATTATTTATTAGAATTAATTTGAAAATAAAATTATTTATCAATTAATATATTTATGTTTAATGTAGTTATATGTTATAAGGTAGAAAATTTATTATAATATAACACATATAAATCGCACAAGTAATATGTGTTATACTAAGGTTTGAAACTTGTTATGAACGGATTATTCTCTCTTTGAGAGCGATTCTATTCTCTCTTTGAGAGCGATCCTCAGTTTGATTTCTTGTTTGATTTCGGTAGCTTGATTCATCTGCATTGCCTGCTAGATTCCCTTCATGTTCATATTCCCTGTTAAATTGGCTTTGTTTATCCACACTCAGTATTCAGAAAGCCCTAAATTACGATGAGCTCCCAATCCTGTAGGGAGAAGGATGATGAAATTCTGCAAAAATTGGAAAATTTCTCCTTATCAAACAGAGAAGACTCCATCATCGACATCCGACATGACGGTATTAAGCTCAGTGATGACGAATGTCAACGAAGCATGTTCGGAAAAGTCATTGGTGACCAGAAAGCGAGTTGGATAGCAGTCAAACGTGCTACGAGTTTTATCTGGAAGCTGAGGAAATCGGTGGAAGTTAAAGAATTGGAGCATAATTACTTCCAATTTATCTTCGAATGCAAGGAAGATATGGAGAAAGTGGCCAAAAGCACCAACTGGAGTATCGACAACCAATACCTCATTCTTTCAGTATGGCAGACAGGATTAACTAGCAAGCATCTTGTTTTCCAAAAACTTAACCTTTGGGTGCAGGTATTTAATCTTCCTCTCAACTGGCTGAGTACAGAGGTAGGCTTAAAGTTAGGTCAAGTGTTTAAACAGGTTTTAAATGTGGTGGTCATGTGTGCGGGCAGTCATGGGAGGAAAGTTCTGAGATTGTTGGTATCTATAGACCTAAATGAACTCCTACCTCGCTGCACAAAAATCCGTCTTGGAGAACAAATTGTCAATGTGGGTTTTAAATATGAGAAGCTTATTAACTTCTGTCAGTACTGCGGGTTAGTGGGACATTTAGATAGGAATTGCTCATCTCGATTGGCTGATATAAAAAACAAGTCTCTCAATGAGGGAAGATATGGAGATTGGATGAGGGCTGAGGGACAACACTGGGCAAGCTTAAGCACTTCAGAGACTCGAGGCTGTCCCTCAAAGAACCATACTCCATCAGACCAGCAATCACCTCACAAAACATCTACTAGTAAGATGGAGGATAATCAGTTACTCATGATCCAAGGTGACCCAATGCAACCCCAACATACATCTTCAAACATTTCCTCTACTCCTGAGGAGGACAATGGTGGCTCCCCATTAAAGAATCATCTCTCAAATTCTAACTTGGTGAAGGCTTTAATCCTAGAACCTTACTCTATAAATGTCCCTCTCTCAAAGGAAGTAAATACTTCCCTTACCAGACTTTCACCCCCACATCCTAATAAGGAGAATACTGATACTCTGATGCCCCAAAAGCCTTTGACCAGGACATGGAAAAGAACAGGAAATAAAGAGGGCAGGCTTCAAAGACAGAGTACAGCCTTGATTATAAGAGAACTCCCTATCTCAGGGAAAAGGCAACAACCATAAACAACTGATGTTACAAGTGACAATAAAGGAAAATCTATTATTTCTGCTGACAGCAAGAAACTCAAAACTTTTTCTGACAAGGTGGAGGTGGCCAGCCTCGAAGGCTCCCAAGTGACCAATTCTAGCCGCGGTGTGGAATTGTAGAGGGCTGGGTAGGCCCTCTAAAGTTTCCCAAATCAGAGAGACAGTAAGAGCTCACCATTCATCTTTTATTTTTTTGTCTGAAACCAAAAAAACCTCTAGTTTTGTCAAATCTATTGTCAAGAAATTAGGCTTTGAAGGATGATCAATTTTAGTGGATCCTTTAGGCATTAGTGGTGGACTGCTACTCATGTGGAACTCTAGGGTTCACATTCTGCAAAGTACATCCACTGATTTCTACATTGCAGTTGAATTCTCTACTCAAAATTGCAGCTCCTCTTGGGGCATTTTTGTTTACCTTAGCATCTGCATCCATACAAGGGCTGATAAATGAAGGAAACTTGAATCTGATAAAAACAATTGGGGTGATAAATTCATCATGGGGGATTGAAATGATATCTGTGCCAGTGATGAAAAGCTTGGAGGTAATCTCATAACTGCCAGGAGCTTAGTTGGGTTCAATGAGTTTATCAACAATATGTCTATGGAAGAAATTAGGATGATCGGCTATCATTATACTTGGTGCAATAATAAATCAAATGAAGAGATCATTGAAGAAAAATTGGATAGAGGGTTTGGTTCTGTTGAATGGCTTACATCCTTCTCCAATGCTTCTGTATCAAACCTGATAAAAAGTGCATTTGACCACTCAATGTTGCTTCTTAATTCTGGAGAACTGAACGAAAGAATAAAGCACCAATTTCATTTTGACAAAAGATGGCTACTCAAGCCAGATATTGCAGAGGTAATAGGCACAACTTAGAACTCTATGTACTCAGGCACCCCCTTCTTCCAGTTAAAAGAGAAAATCAAATGTACCAGGGAAGCCCTCATCATTTGGAGTGCAAAGTTTAAATCCCAAAACCAGTCCAATATTGAGCACTTAACAACTAAGCTTGCAACCCTCAGAGACAATAACATAGCAGACAACTGGGACTCATGGGTGGCTACCAAATCTGAGTTAGAAAAGACACATCAAGCTGAAGAAACTTTCTGGCAACAAAAGGCCAAGCTCCAATGGTTAAAGGCAGGTGATGGGAATACAAAATTTTTCCATGCATATGTGATGATGAGAAGGAGACAGAATGCCATTTATAGATTAGTCACATACCAGAATAGAGAATGCTCCTCTCAGAAAGAAATACAACACCACATTGCAGAGTTCTATTCATCTCTCTTTTCTTCAGAAGGTGCTTGGGGAGGTGACTCCATTCTTCACCATATACCACAAACCATCACCTCAAGCATGAACCAGACTTTGCTCAAGCCAGTCAGTGAATATGAAATAAAGAAAGCTCTATTCAGTCTCAACCCGGAAAAGACACCTGGTGAAGATGGTATGTCTACCTTGTTCTTTCAAAATTTCTGGCATATAGTCAAACTTGATCTGTGTGCTGCTTTATCTAGTTTCTTTGATAATGGAATGCTCCTCAAATACTGGAACCACACCATCATATCTCTGGTCCCTAAAACTTTGAATCCTGAAAATCTCTCTCAATTCAGGCCAATTAGTTTGTGCACAGTTGTTTACAAAATCTTATCAAAGATCCTTACCCTAAGACTCAAAGCTTATCTGCATGTTTGTGTGAGTGATTATCAGTCTGCTTTCATCAAGGGGAGGCAATTACTTGACAATGTAATCATTGCCCAAGAGGCTTTCCATTTCTTAAACAAACACTCTACTGGGAAGAATTTCTTCATGGCTCTGAAATTGGACTTAATGAAAGCATTTGACCGAGTAGAATGGTTATGCCTTAAGAAGACAATGTTAAAAATGGGTTTTGATAAAAAATTTGTTCACCTCATCATGATTTGTGTATGGTTGTCCCATTTTTGTTGTTATTTTCACTGGTATTTTGTTGGTCGTTTCCCCCGTTTTAGGTCATTTCTTAGGATTTTTCCGGTCCATTTTGTCGTTTCGTGTGTTTTCATTGTTATTTTGGTATATGTGGTATTTTTGTTATTTTCTTCCTATTTTTTGTTGCTTTTCGTGTTATTTCCGGTGGTGATTTTTCAAGTTTCGGGATATCCGGTATATGAGCGCAAAATGAAAGAGGCGATTCCTCGTCTGATTCTGAGGGATTACATTTTGGTTCATATGACTAATATTGCGGAAGTCGAGTTCCAGCTCAAGCAGTACCCGAGACACACTAGCCGAGATCAATAGGGCCCGAAAAATCACAAATTGAAGATTCTGGAGGCTTAGCGCTGATAAGCCCGGCTTCTTAGCGGCGGTAAGGAGGGTTAGCGTCGCTAATCCTTCTGGCAGACAGATAGTGCATTCTTTTCCTTAATTTCTGGACATGTTTGGGGAGAGGGTTCGAGAGTGGAGTATTTTGGGTACGACCACTCACCTGGAAACATGGTTTTGAAGACTATAAGATCATCCTTTCTTTATCCTATGAGGCATCTGTCATCTTCCATCATCCTTTTCTATTTTCTACACCATTTTTTCTTTCCTAAGTTTTTAAGTTTGTATTTGCTTTTATTTTGGAGAAGTTGAAGATATTGTTGTATTTGGGATTAAGTTTGCATTTGCTCTTGAATCAAGGACTTCTTATTACTAGTAAGTTATCTTTTTCATATTATTTATGCTGAGAATGGCTTACCTTAATTTGATTGTTTACATTGAATTTAGTATAAACAACTAATCCTCTAGCTAGGGTTAGGGGATAATCGTTTCGGTGCATTCTCGTTTATGTATATCAATTGCTCAATCTTTACGAGTTTTAATAATTATATGACTGAATGCTTGATAACCATTTTAATCTATACAATCGATTTCAAAACCGAGAGCGGCGAAATTGGTAGAATTTGGCTCGTTTAGAATAGACATGTTCAGAAACATATTGTCTATGTGTTAATTGTCTCGTTAAATTGCTCTTTTATGTTTATCCGCATATTACGAGAGTTAGTGAGGTTAAACCACTAAATGGGTTAGTTAGTCGAGTCTTTTAACCGAGTAAGTTGATTGCCGTTAACTGTGTGTAGAACAGAAAACAATTATCCCCAATACCCTAACCTGTTCATATATCTTGAAATTGTCTCCATAAGTTGCGATATTTACATTGTTTAAGTTAGGAATCATTAGTTAAAAATCAAAACAGACAACTTTGATTAGAGTGTTTAGGAATATTTTTGTTTTTGTGATCGAATAAACGTACAAAATAGTCCGGCTAACCTTCCTTGAGAACAAGACCCGGTGTTCGAATCTTTCGATTCTACTCCAGTAAAATAAACTACAACAGTGTATCTTCTTGCACCTACTCCTTCAAGGTTCATGGAACTGTCAGTGGTTATGTGCATCCTGCCAGAGGTATAAGGCAGGGGGACCCTTTGTCCCCCTACCTTTTCATTATCATTGCTGAGTTGATTTCTACATTAGTGACTGCCTACTCAGATGATGGTTGCCTTCAGGGTCTTAAACTATCCAAAAATGGTCCACCTCGATCCCACTTGCTATTTGCAGATGACTCCATCTATTTCTGCAAGGCTAGTGTGGATCAAGCTGCAACTCTCCTTACTATTCTGGACAGATACAGACTTTTCTCTAGGAAAAAGGTAAACCTGCAAAAGTCAGCCATCTTCTTCAGCAGGAACACTCCCCAGACCCTTCAGGACAGCATTTGCCGAACTTTACAGGGTATTACACCCCACAGGTCCACCAGGTACTTAGGTCTTCCTTTGGGCATTGGTAGATATAAAGTTGAGGCTTTTAACTTTGTACTTGATACTGTGAAGACTAGAATTGAGAACTGGAGGACTAAATTTCTTACTCCTGCTGGAAAAGAAGTTCTTATAAAATCTTTCATTCAAGCATTGCCAGTGTTCTCCATGTCTTGCTTCAGACTGCCTGCTTCTGTGTGTACTAAAATTTCTAAACTATGCTCTCACTTCTGGTGGAAAAATGGAGGAGAACATTTAAAGGGCATACACTGGAAATCCTGGGAATCCATGTCATTGCCTAGGGACAAGGGAGGGCTGGATTTTCTGGACATAAAACTCTTCAACACAGCACTCATATGCAAACAACTCTGGAGGATCACCTCAAATCCTGATTTGCTGGTCAGCAGGATCCTTAAAGACAGATACTACCCTCATTGCTCCACTTTTTAAGCCACAAAATCTCATAAATGCTCATGGTTGTGGTCTAACTGGCTTGAAGTAGTGCCTACCTTTGCAAAAGGCTTTGCCGTGGAGGTGAGAAATGGAGAAACTACAAGGATAGCGGATGGGAATTGGGTGCCTAATCTGCCAAAACCCAAGCCAGAGTTAATGGAACTGGCCAGAGATCATCTGATTTGGGTCAAGGACCTTTTTAATAACTCTGGCACAGGGTGGAATTCATGGTTGGTAAAACAAGTCTTTGATCCAGGGGATAGCTCTGCCATTCTCTATATCAACTCACTCAAACCAGGTTACCCTGACAGGCAGTACTGGAAGTTGGATAAAAAAGGGCTTTTCTCTGTTGCAAGCACATATGCCTTCCTCTCAGATCATAAGCTGCTAGCTTTAGACATCCCTGGGTGCAGCTCTTCATCAGGTAGCAATTGTGCAGGCCTTTCTAGATGCTGGAAATTGAAAATTGCAGGTAAACTTAAGCACTTCATTTGGAAGTGTTTAAATGGCACTCTACTTGTAAAAACAAAGTTGTGGAGGAAAGGATTAGACATTTGATGTCATTTTCAAATCCTGTGGAATTGAGCCAGAGACCATTGAACATGTTCTTTTTCATTGTCCTAAAGCTTGCAGAGTGTGGGATTTGGCTCCAGTATCTTGGAATTATCTGTAGCACCCTCCAACTTCTTTTAGAGGCTGGTGGTTAGATATGTGTGCTCTCAATAAATCAGAGACATCTGAAACTAGGATTCAACTTACAACCTACATGCTTTGGTGGCTCTGGAAATCTCGGAACCTGTGACTCTTTCAAGATATTCAGATTCCAGCTCACCAACTTGTCAACATAGCTCATAAAGACTGGTTGGAGTTCATTGAAGCAAACTGCTACTAGCTCTCTGCCTTGCAGTTTCAGTCTAGTTGCTATCTATTTTGTCTGCTGCTCTGTTTAGGTTATTTTCCTTTCAGTGTTTAGTTTGTTGTTTGTTGTATTAGCAGTCTGGTTATGTTTAGCAGTTTGTTGGTTTTTTTGTTGTTGTGATGATTCTTAGGCTTCTTAGGCTTAATTGCAGTGGGGAGATTTCCTTAGTCTCATTTCTTTGGTTCTAGTTGTTGAGGTTCTAGGCCGCTTGCATGCGAGTCCTCTCAGTCTTTGATTTGCGATAGTCTTGATTTGTATTTAAACAATGTTCCATTTTCTTGAGTTAATAGTGATCTCTATCGTTCCGGAAAAAAAAATGTGTTATACTAAAATATATAATAATATATACTCTGTCCTAGTTTTATTATTTGTCACTTTGGCTTATTTAATTCATTCATTAGTTATTATAATTGTTTCTTTTCTTATTTTAAGATTTTATAACTTTTTTGTTTGTATTTTATTTTTTATATAGGATATATCAAATTAAGTATCTTTTAATGATTTTTTTATTTCACATTCATATTATATATATGAAATACAAAATAGTAATATATATTGTTATAAATAAAATTTAAGTTTATTTATCAAACTAAAGACGAATACGACACTTGATGTATTAGACATCTAATTAAGTAAAAAAATTAATCTATTTTGCTTAATATTAAACAAGCATATTCTGCACTTATTCATATGCATATCACCATATTATTTTTATTTATTTAAGATATATATTTTTTAATTTAATAAGAGTAAATAATATCCATAATTTTATATGATACTAGTACGTAACCCGTGCGATGCACGGGAAGTAAAATTTGGAAGAATAATATAACCTCACGTGCATTAGGATCGAAATTGAAATTATTAAAATACATAGGAACATTGTTGAATCATAAAAAGTTCGGTAACAATAATATATTATTAAAAACCTCCTTGTACACAATATTATGAGTTTGATTATTTGGTAACTCCTCATTATCACAAACTAATATTTTCAAAAGACACAAATCCTAAAAATCAAACTAATATTTTTGGTGAACAAACTAATATTTTAGGATTGGTGAACAAACTAATATTTTAGGATTTCTAGGATTTGTCTCTTTTTGGTGAACAAACTAATATTATAGGATTGGTTATATGAATAAGGCTACCTGTTTTTGGTGTTCTTTTCATTCATTTTCATTCAAACAATCTGATGACTTGTATCCGAATCTTAAGCCGAAATATTTATTTTAAAAAAAAAAGAGTTTTTAAAAATTGAAAAGTCAAGCAATCAGTTCAGACTAATTAAAGGTTAAAGAATATCCGCTACTTGAAATAAAGACGTGTGCTATCATTAACCAAATATCCGGTTATTGATATAGAGTGGTTACCAAAAAATAGAACGCGATAAGGACGCTTCATGAAAATATCAATGGGATAATGTCAAAACAGATCGCTATACATTTTAACTATAAAAGCTCAGATGATTTATGATAATTATGTCGTAATTAATGAATTAATTAGATGTGTGAAAAAGACATAATTAATGAGAAGTGTAAAAAGGACATAATTAATGAGAAGTGTGAAAAAGACATAATTAATGAGAAGTGTGAAAATGACATAATTAATGAGAAGTGTGAAAAGGACAAAAACTTACCCGTTTTGGAAAATATTTAATGCAAATCCAACATTGACCATAATTTGACCTACTATTTTGGATAAATGTTAATTCTTATTATATAAGGATAGATAAGTAAAAAAAAAATCAATATGAGTTGATACGTTTAGTTAATATACGGGTCTTTAATTATTGTGATTAAAATATATAATTTGACAATTTAATTAAAATCCAAAGTAATGTTTTATATAAAATTAAAATATTTTAGTTATAAAAAAAATAATATTTTTTACATATGCTTCCTAATTCATCACCTGTGTATTTACACGGGCATTGTACCAGTGATATGTAACACAACAAATGATATTTAATAAATCAGTGCTCCTTTGGACTTGTTAGTAATTGATTTTACAGATATCTGCATAGATGTGTATACATGTATAAATCAAGAGGTGGAAAAACATTAAGGATATTACCCATAGGCAAGGTCAAAATCACCCTACATATCCAACGAAATCTCTAATTTTTCTTCTTTTGCTATACATTATCATCATCCTAGAAAAATAAAGTAGGTCGTAATCAAATTTCATTAATTCGGACTCTTTTGCCATAAATGCCATGCAGAAAAACCTAATTGCTTTTTACTGCTGTGCACTTCAGACCACCTTTTTTATAATTGTCCCTTTTTCATTATTCGTCCAATTTGATTTGATTTCCCCCTTCATGAAGTTCCCATGATTATTGACCAACCTTTCCCTCTTTTTGGCCTTTTTCTTTCTTTATCTCGGGAGGAAAAGGTAATGTAAGTAAATCTCATAAACATATATGTGTAATTGTTTTTTTGTTTTGCACCAACCTCAACCAAAACAGAAATCATGGCTAATTCGCCTTCCATTGAATTATTCCCACCGCCGGCGGCTGGAGTTTCCGGCCCAAACCAAGAAAATCCTAATAAGACTGCCCAAGAAGAAAGTATCAGAAAATGGAGCAAAAAAAAGTACACCCTCCTCGTAGTAATGAATTACGCGCTGCTCTTCTCAGGCTCGATATCATCGACCCTATTATCGAAATACTATTTCATCCACAAGGGCTCAAGCAAATGGGTGTCCACATTTGTCCAGTCAGCAGGGTTTCCTCTTCTTCTAGCACCCATCTATCTCCCTTTCATCCTCGGGTGCACTGAGAGGCGGCCCTTTACAGGGCTGACTCGGCGCCTGCTGCTGCTGTCAGCTAGCGTCGGGCTTTTATTGGGAGTCAACAATTTACTCTTCTCCTTTGGGAATTCCTACTTGCCAGTTTCCACCTTCTCGCTTCTCCTCTCCTCCCAACTGGCCTTCAATCTCATTCTCTCCTTCCTCATAGTAAACCAGAAGCTCAATTTCTTGAACATCAATTGTGTCGTGCTGTTGTCTATGAGCTCCGTCCTATTGGCCCTGAGCAGTTCGAGCCACGAGAGTCATCTGCCGCCGGGAGAGCATTTCTGGGCGGGTTTCTTCTCGACCCTTGGCGCGGGGCTTCTGTTTGCCCTCTACCTGCCGGTGATGGAGGCCGTTTACAGACGGGTCGACTGCTACGGAATGGTGGTGGAGATGCAGCTTGTGATGGAGGCGGCGGCCACGGCGTTTGCAGGGGCCGGGATGTGGGGAGGCGGCGGGTTCGCGGATATGAGGGCGGAGAGTAGGGGAGGGTTCGATAAGGGGCCGGCGGTGTACTGGGTGACGATATGTGGGAATATGGTGGTGTGGCAGTTGTGCTTTGTGGGGACTGCCGGGATGGTGTTCCTGACGACGTCGCTCACGGGGGGGATCTGCATGACGGGGCTTATGGCTGCGAATGTGGTGGGAGGGGTGGTGGTTTACGGGGATGAGTTTGGTGGAGTCAAGGCCGTCGCGGCAGTCATCTGCGTCTGGGGATTCTCGTCCTATCTATACGGGATGTATGTGAAGAATAAAAACAAGGATGATATTGAGAGAGATGCCGCCGCGGCTGCCGTCTAATTTTTTTTTTTTTTTTTATGCGAAAATAAATTAATGTGGTGGATTAATTAATTATTGTTAATTGTGTACTGGATTAAGTGATTATTATTAATTGTTGTTGTGTTTCTGTTGTTTTAATTTGGGTCGGTGTGTCGACTATTGATATCATGTATGAGGGATTAATTGATTTAAAGATAGTGTACTTATTTATGAATACTAGCTCCTTTACTTTTGTCTGACTAATGTATATTTTCGGTTTATGTTTTATGCAAGTATGTGTTGAGAGTTTATATATTTTGTTTGTTTGTTGGACCCGAAGATGAATGATTATTAATTGAAGTTGTTTATTCATGCTTATGATATGATCATGTTTCATATTTATTTTATTTTATTTTTTAATTCCAGCGTCATTATATGAGTCATTTCTATAGAACTTATCCGTAAGTAACTCATGCGACGCACGATATAGAGAAATTAAATTAGTTATTTTCATAGGGTTTGTCCGTTAAAGTCTAAAAGATAATAGAGTTTGGACATCTATTTCATACCTTTTTTCATCAACGTCATTTTCTTGTCGGGATGTTAAACCTTAGTCTGTTAGCGCTAGTCCGTAAACTATTATCCCGCTAAAATGTTTATAGTAATATAAATTTGATTTTAGTAAATATATTTATTCCTTGGTATAAGAAAAATAATAATTTTAGTTAATCTTGTTTCTCGTATAGTACTCTATTATTATTTTATTATAAAATTTGTTGTAATATAATGTCACTATTATTATTATTTGTAGAAGTTGTACATGTAGTCTTCTCCTTGTTTTTGTTTTATGTAATGAAAATATTTAATGTACGTTAATATTATTTATTAATATAATTAATTTAAATTATGTCAATAAATTTAAAATAAAACATTGTGTACAAATAATTTACAAAATATACACAATTTTTTTTTATAATAATTAAACATCTTTGATTTTTATTAAAAAAAAAAGGTGGTCTTTGATTTAAGCTGTGTGCCCAATTGATGTAGGGAAGCGTACGAATGAGAAGGATAAACGAGATACTCTCTCGATAAAACTCACATAACTCAACAATATCTTATTTTCATTCAAAATCAACTGAAGATAACAAAATAGGGAGAGTCCTTTATATAAGGCTCTTAAACCCTAACAGTAACTTCCTCACCAAGACTAAACATAAATAACAAATAAATATTATATGCTAATAATAATAATAATAATAATAATAATAATAATAATAATAATAATAATAATAATAATAATAATAATAGATATTAATTAAACTGCCAAATATTCTAATACAAAAAATAATAGATATTATCCTGCATCATTCTCCTCCTGTTGAGCAGATTCGCCCTCGAATCCGACCCGATCTCGTTGCCAGCGTGAAGAGTCGTACCCATGGCAGCAATCACCCGGTGTTTCCCCCTGTCGAACACGAACGTTGAATGTCGCATCTGTTTGTAAGGCTGGAACAAATTAATGCTCATGGGAGAAAAGCTCGGGCCTGCACAACAGATAAACTACCAATGTTTTCAGAACCTTCCTCACGTATTTAAGGACAATAACATCGTGAAACTCGACATCAATCTCGGCGGGGCTAACGAGGCCCGAAACAAACGATCCCTCGGAAGAAACCACAAGAACCGCTGCAATTCCTAACTTTGCAAATTGTCGAACGTAGCCAAATACCTGTGAGGCCACGACACGATTATCACAGGTTGTCAAGATGACTCGCATGGTGTCACACATGCTCCGGATACTCCATTTCTCCATGTTCGTAATGTCCACATCAATCAAAGGCTCCATGAGGAATTCTTCTTGCCCCGGAGGCTTCTCAACGAAAATTGGCAGACCATCGTACAAGGGCCCGTCAACTTGCTCACTGTCGAATTCGGAGATGTCAACGTGAAACGGGCCCTCCCATTGATCATATTCGCAATCAAGTCCCCAATCGTGTAGGACACGATATCTGCTGGCAAAGGCAGCCTCCTCACGCCTGCCTCTATCGTCGCATTGATCATCACCATCCACGAAGACCGAGCCATGTCGCCGCATGTCACGGCCGCCGTATGCAGTGAAGAGGTCACCTCCGAGATTGTCTTTTCGCTGTCTTTGTCACTGGACGGTGGTTGTGGAGATCTCCGGCGGGGCGCCCCGCCTGGACCACGGCCTCCACATCCTCCGCGAATTCCCCCGCGCACGCCCCGGTTGCCGGCGTCACGGTACCTTTTCCTGTCTCGAACCATGGTACGGATAGTTAGACATATGTCCCGGATCTCTGCGGACAGATCTGCAATCTCACGTCCCATCATCTCGAGCTGGCGGCCAAACCACTTGGTCCGGCGGCTCAGGTTTTATCTGGCGGCTACATGTCTGTCGTTTGCAGCATCTTGTCGTCGCGACAGTATCGTGAATCGTGCTGACTTCTGATACCAACTGATGTAGGGAAGCGTACGAATGGGAAAGATAAACGAGATACTCTCTCGATAAAACTCACATAACTCAACAATATCTTATTTTCATTCAAAATCAACTGAAGATAACAAAATAGGGAGAGTCCTTTATATGAGGCTCTTAAACCCTAACAGTAACTTGCTCACCAAGACTAAACATAAATAATAATAATAACAATAATAATAATAATAATAATAATAATAATAATAATAATAATAATAATACTAATAATAATAATAATATTCCTAATACAAAAAATAATAGATATTATCCTGCATCACCAATTCTGGTGGAAATCAGGAAATAACATGGACATACACATTGAAGAAATGAGACAAGGTTACTCTTCCAAAATCCAAAGGTGGCCTTGGCTTTCATGACATCAGTCTATTCAATGAGGCTCTTATCTGCAAGCAACTCTAGAGGATAGCTACAAACCCTGACCTACTAGTGAGTCAAATCCTCAAAGACAGGTATTTCCCAAATGACTTTATACTTACTGCAGAAAAATTTCAAAGAGGATCTTGGAGGCAAAATTAAAAAAATGATACACCAAGTAGGGCGTTGTCAATAAAAAAGACATTTTGTTGTCCCTCACGGAAAAGAAACATGTAGTTGGCAGTTTGGTCGGAAAAGATACATTCATAAACCCTACCTGGATAAAAAGCTAACGTGGCGGGATTAGGTAATGACGTGGCATTATAACCTTCCTTAATTTCCTACGTGTTATTTACACATAGATAAATAATAATAAAAATAAAAATAAATAAAAAATCCAAAAATAAATAAAATGAAGACACATCAGCAAAATAAAAATAAAAATAAAAATAATAAAAATAAAAAAAAAATAGCAAAAAAAATAAATCCAAAAATTTTAAAAAAAAATAGAAAAATATATTTTGTTCTATTTCGTTAACTATATATTAATAAAATTATATTTAGTTAATATATAATAAAAAATATTAATAAAATAAAAATAATTGTTAATATTTTGTTAAATATAAGTATATTTCACTAATATATATTAAAAAATATATTCGCATAGGGCAAGACAAAGAGCTAGCTAAGAGATAAAGGGGATTTTCACTCTCAGACAGAGAAAATGCTTTTATTGACATCGCTCAAGACGATATAAAACTAAGTGCGGAGGAATGCCAACGAAGTCTTTTTAGCAAAATTCTCGGAGACAGGAAGGTCAGTTGGATAAGGGTTAAACGAACGATGAGCCAAATCTGGAAACTACGTCAGTCGATGAAGGTGAAAAAATTAGGGCGTTCATCTTCCAAATCACATAGAATATGGAGAAAGTAGCCAAAGGAACAAATTGGAGTTTTGAAGATCAGTTTTGTAATGCCACGTTTGATTGTGGAATATTTGGAAATTATTCATCATTATTATTATTATTATTATTATTATTATTATTGAATGTCTAAATATTATTTATTTGTCAAATTGCAATTAAATGCCTAAATGCCTAAATATTATTAATTGCTTAATTGTAATTGATTTCATAAATGTGTATTTGTATCATTATTAATATTATTATTTTAAATTAAAAGTGTGTATAATATATATTACCCGGTTTATAAATTTAAACTGTTGAGCCCGAGAGCCGATTTATTTTCTCAAGCCTTCGCATGAACCGGCCCAAATTCTTGGGAACCGTCCCGAACCCGCGAGCCCGACCTGGTCCGCCCGTTCTAGTGTGTGTGTGAGTGTCTTGATTGACAAGACAAAAGCCTTAGTCTTATATTTTTTCTCTAGCTCGTTCATAAGCCGAGAAACATGCCCGCAGCCATCTATCTGCTTTCACCTTCTCTCGCAAAAAAAATCTCTTCTCTCTCGCTGAGCATCCATCGTGCCTTCATTTTCCCCTTTTTCTCTGCGAATTTTCTCGATCGCCCTTCCTCCCTCGCGAGCCTCTCCCGCCGGCGACCCGCCCTGCTCCGCTGCGACCAAGGACAGCAACCTCGAGGATTCCGACGAGTCCTGTCCGCGACGCACAGCAGGCCCGCGAAGCATCACCGGCGAGTTCATCCTCCGCCGCACAGCACCTCCCGACCGCCATTGCTCTGCCCCGTCACGCGTTCAGGCCACCGCGAGCAGCCATCCCTCAGCCGCTGCTCCTCCACGAGCCGCCGCGTGTTCATGTTCGATCCCTCCGTTCCGTTTTTCGAACGATTCCCGAGAACGGTATAAGGCTCGAACCGCGTCTTATTAAATAGTATATATCATTTATGTTATGCGTTTATATGGTGTGTTGAACGTGATTCACGAACATATATATATAAGCCCTATAAATTTTATGTGTTCGTTTTGATTCAATATATTGATTGTGTGTAGTCGATCTCTTCGATTTTGAGAAATCGAACAAGACATCGTTAATTTGGGGTTAAGTTGTTGTGGATTGGAACATGACATGTCCTTAGTCTCATGGTGAAAGCCTCGGACAATTTCGAGTCTTGTCGAGTCGTTTATAAATTGTTGAGCTCGTAAAATTGTTGTTTCGGTACTAAAATCATGATAAATTGCACACTGATCCGTT